TTTTTTTTTTTTTTTTTTTTTTTTTTTTTTTTTTTTTTTAACAATTCATAACAGACTCTTCGTGCATATCGTTTTGGACTGATATAATAGTATCTTCGATAATATTCTAGCATTTCTACGGTTTTCTTCTTATCTCTAATGACCCCGGATTTAATGAACCATCGGTCGGATAAAAACGAAAAATAATTGAAAAAAAGACAGTTTTCTAAAATATGTATCAAAAATTCGACCTAATATATTGCTTAAAAAAAAAAAATAGAAAAAAAAAACCTTCGATTTTCATCATTATATCAACGAAACGCAAAGCGAATTAATTAAATTTAGCAAAATATAAATGTGCTTATTAATTAGATAAAACAAAATTATATTAACATTTTTCTTTTTTCTTATAACTACAAAAAAAAAAAAAAAAAAAAAAAAAAAAAAAATATAAAACCTTTTGCGGTAAACCCTATTAAAATGCAAGTATAGAAATATGACTCATTTAACAGTAATTGTTAGTTTGTAGTAGTAATTTTTTTTTTTTTTTTTTTTTTTTTTTTTTTATGTATTCTATTTAATGGGAATTTTTTTATTATTCTGACTTGTAATGGAGTCATTAGCGAAAGCGAATTTGCGAATAACTAAGACAGCTAGCTACGTTCGACTTGAGACACAACTGCGATGCCAAATATCTTTCATCCATTCATTCGTCCATTAATCCATTTATTTATTTATTTTTTAAATGAAATACTAACAACCGATTTAATAATGTATTTATATATGAAATTTTTAATATTGAAAAGTGCGGACGTAACACTTTTTAAAACTAAATTTGGCATAAATAAACAAATAAGTGGGAAAAGAGAAGAGGAGAACATATGCAACCATATAAACTGCCGTAAGCAGTATTTTGTGCTTGTTGTTGTGCAGAGACGTACGAATTGAAGATCTGAAAACATATGTTCTTAGTGCAAACGGATAGCGAAATGGTATTCGAAATGTCCGTCTATCTGTCCGAATGCCTGCCCCATTAAATAGTACGGTTACAGTTTCAAAATGTGTTCGGGGAGGATAAACTTGACCTCGTCACTTTTACACTTCCCATCTACAATACTTTTTATACACGAATATATTCAATTTTTGCGTATGTGTGCAACACCCAGAGGGATTTTTGAAAGATCTTGCCTTTTATTATATCGATCGATTCAAAATCACTTTGTGATTCGATTCAAGATGATTGTCTGTACGACTGTTCGTTTTCTATATCTATGTTCAACCTGCAGACGTTGCAGATGTACGAAAAAAAAAAAAAGAAAACAAGCTATTCTTCTACAGACGATATAAGAAGTCTTCTCTTTTCAGCATATTGATATTAAAAAATTCGATCAGATGAACGCAATTTTCCACTTTTGCGGAATCGAGTGATCGAGTCAATTATTTGGTTTGGTTCTTTCTCATCCTGTAGTGATCCTGTAAGTGATCAAATCGGTCCGGAATATCAAGCTATTAAAAAAAAGGCAAACACATGCTTTATGACGTGAATTTCCAAAATCTACAAAGAGAAAGACAAACTTACTATACAATAAATATTCTACGGTGTGGATTTTTTATTGGTTTTTTTTTTTTTTTTTTTTTTTTTTTTAAACTTTAATTGAATATATAAAGTATTTCGACATAATAGGAAATAGTTGTTATTCTACAAGATTGAGAAAGAGAGAGAGAGAGAGAGAGAGAGAGAGAGAGAGAGAGAGAAAACGATAAAAAAGAATTGCTAAACCTTGGATACGGGGAAGTAAACAACTTTTGTTGTTAACACTCATATAAATTATGTTCTGCGATACGAAACAACTGAAGTTTTCGTATATCTTTGTTTGAATATGTTTTCCAACTTTCCATTACTCATTATTATGGAAGAGAGTTTAGTGCAATTCTGCTGTGGCCCGAACATAGGTCTCCAAATTAGTTAGTATAGTTCTGTTAATAAATTAACAGAGCACTACCGATATGCAGCAGTACGGGACTATAGGCGTGCGCGTATTTTAGCAAACAGTAGAAGTTTTTATTTTCCAAGCCATGTGAGACGATCGGAACACGTCTTCTTTTCGTAACTATGGTGAGAAACATTTTTAAATTTAAAATAATAGCAGGGGACGATCACAGTGGGTTTTGAAAGGTTAAAGAGTTCGAATTAGAAAACTGCAGCTACTTGGTCGCATATTGTGGAAACGTGGAGAGACAATGAAGAAACTCTTTTCAGGAGAATCAAGTTCGTCTCAAGTTTGAGCTCATTGTTTCTCAACTTTTGCAATATACAGGGCTTTCCAAAACTTGACGATAGGAAGGTGCGCACACGCTTGTAGGGCTAAATCGTTTAAAAATCTTATGTTGATCAAGTCTGCGAATTGTTTCTTTGAAACATGTCTCCCGATATTACCAACCTAATGACGAATTCAATATACTCTGAACTTTTGCTATAAAAGCACTTTGAGTTGATTAAATAAATTAACAAGCAAACTTCTAAAAAAGTTTTTACAACTGATTACACTTCTCCTCCAACTGATTGCTTTATAACTGGCAAATAAGAATTTACCTCGACCATAATTTATTTTATTGTATCATCATTACATTATTATTTATTTGATTTTTCTTTCAATTTATTTTTGTTAATACATTTTCATTTATTCTGCCGTATCAACTATCGGACCTATTTGTCAGAACATCAACCAAACTTTGAAATTTTAACTTCAAGTGCATATAGCCTTAAAAGCAATCGGCTCTATCGATTTGTCGGTCTATCCCGTCTACTGATTTTTCCATTCGATAGTCGTTAGTTTGTTGGTTTATCGATCTACCTAACGATTTGTCTGTGCGCTTCTCGATCTATCTGTCTGTCAAACTTTTTGTCTTTGTCTATTTTATATCCACATCCGCTAAACATATTTCATATTAATTAGAATTGGCAGCAGAGGCTGCTAACCGTAATCGGACCACATTGAGGCTCATATAAATTTTGAACATCAAAACTTTACCACTTGTGGTACAAAAGTAGATCAGAGTACATTGCAATACCAAGAATGACGTGAGATAGACCCAAGAGAGAAACTGATTCGTCCGTTGGTCTGCCTGTCTACTTTGTGTTTCTGAAATTTGGTTCACTGACATGTTTTGGCCCAAGGGTGAGCGAACACTTCTTCGTAACACAACTTTCCTGATAACACCTTACTTGGTTAAACATGCAAAAGATACTCGCTCTCTATGTGGAGAGCGTGCTACTTGCGAAAGTGAGTGTAAAGATTACCATCGATCAACTGAAAGGACAGAACTTCAACATTGATTATAATCAACTTTATTACGATTTTTTTATTTCAAACATACTCGATTGCTCATTGCCTGACCCTCCAAATGGTAGCAAATTTAATCGAAAATTGTTTCTACATAGGTTTGCAAATTCGCTAAATCGACTTTGAGATTTTTTCGCAAAAGATATAAATCCAGAATGGAGAAATTCAATCCATAGACTGCGTTGCCTGGTAGTCTTTTCATAATATTACCCTATAAAAAATATCGGTTTGAAAACGCAAACTTTCTGTGTAAATTAAAATAATAAGATGCTCTCTAAGAAAATGGAGGAAAGAAGCGCGATCTTTATTCATTCCAAGGTCATTGCGATTCTCTTATATGCTTCACTCAATCTTTTCGCTTTCTTCATTTTTCTTCTTCAGCAATTATATAAAAAATATAAGGTGGCAAGTAGTAGGTAGGTCAGCTGTTAAATATTATATATTAGCGAACTTCGCAATTCCTCGTACGTATCGAATAGAAGTTTCTTCTTTGACACGAGGGGTTTTGAAGAGCGTGATTGTAAAACTAGTTAACCATTGGACAGTAACTCTAAGACTCCTTAAGACCTGACTTCGAAGAAGTTGCTAGTGAATATGATTATTAATTAATTGAATCATCAATAGGTTCTCAGAAGACACAACATATTTTCAACAATATTCAATATAGTCAGTCTTCCTACGAAGAAACATGTTTTGAAGCTCACTCA